GGGAAGGTAGAAGCATCTTAACACAGTGCGTAAGAAACTTCACGTCTCTGCTCCCATTCAGTTCCTCTCTCTTTAGTACCAGCTTCCCATCAACATTAAAATCTTTCCTTTGTTTAGGTACTTTGCTTGGCCTAGAATATACAGTTCCCTGGTTTGCTGTCTTTTAATATTGCTTATGATAATTTTATTATGTAATCACACCTTGCCTCAGGACTAAGTGAACGTCAAATTATCACAGCAAATTATAATTAAATAATACATTACTTCAAGACAAAAACCAATGAGAACACGTAACTTACATAAAAACATTACCTTGGAAAGGCACACTGGAAAATGTTTTATCTCCTGAGAATTTTTGTGTTCTTATTTAAATGCTAATGAAACAAAAGTCCTGTTGAACTTAAATTGTATGTTTGTGTGTATCTGGCTATGTAACTTGCAGGGTCCTGGGTGACATAAAAATGTGGAGCCTCGGGGCGCCTGGGTGGCTCAGTGGGTTGATCCACTGCCTTCGGCTCAGGTCATGATCTCAGGGTCCTGGGATCGAGTCCCGCATCGGTCTCTCTGCTCAGCAGGGAGCCTGCTTCCCTCTCTCTCTCTCTGCCTGCCTCTCCGTCTACTTGTGATCTCTCTCTGTCAAATAAATAAATAAAAATATTAAAAAAAAAATGTGGAGCCTCTTGTTCAAAAATTGCTAAGAATTTCAATATGGTAATAGCATAATATTAACCCCAGGCAAGGGATCCTTGTAAGAGCAGGGCTCTGAGTGCTCAGGTCACCTGCTCTGTATACATTTTCGCCCTCAACTGAACATATTTAGAACTGAAATTTCTCTAAAGGAAATTCTTTTTGCTTAAACTAGAAGGATATGAATAATTTAAGATTCATGATGTTTTGAAGATCTTGTTAAATGGACCTACGAAACAATGAAGAAGAAAATTAAGCTGATAAGAATGTGGACTTTGCAGGTGCACTTGGCTGGTTCAGGCAATGAAGTGTGTGACTCTTGATCTCAAGGTCATGAGTTCGAGCCCCTTGCTGGGTGTAGAAACTACTTAAAAAAATAAAATCTTTTAAAAAGGAAGAATGTACACTTTGCAGTCAATTCAAGGCTTATTTTCACGGTTGCCTGGTGGGTTTATTGGTTGGTTTTCGGGATCCACAAACTCCCTCTAATTATAATCAAAATTGTGTGTGTGTCTGTGTATGTGTGTGTGTGTGTGTGTTTACATGTGCATTTTTTAGGGGAGAGCGTTCATCCAATTCTCAAAGGGATCAATAACCCCAAAAGACTTAAGAACCACTGTTCTATGAAATTATTTCTCTTTATTTTGATGTTATCTCTATAGCTAGCCATGTTTTACTTAAAGAAACGTCTGGTTAAAAAAAAAACTTTAAACAAAAGGGTTGGGGCAAATTTTTAAAACAATGTTTATTTTAAAACATAGAAAAGAAATATAAAAAGAAAAATATAAGGAATAAACAAATACATCAGGATCCCAGTCAGAGAAATCTGCAAGGATCTACATTAAACCCTTACGTCTTAGCTGCTACCATCAGAAAACTTTAAAGATAGTAAAATTGATCTTTAATTGCAATATTTATTATGTAATAGTATGTAATACTTATTGAACACTTATCATGTCTTGGGCACTGTTCCAATTATTAACTCACTCCATTCTCTTACCAACTTTATACTCCCCCTTGTAGAAATGAGGAATCAAGCAAACAGAGGTTAAGGACCGACACTCAATGGATGGTGGTGACAGGTCTTGAATTGGTCACAAAGTCAATATTCTTTATAAGCTTCATTTTTTCTTCATTATTTAGTAAGTCCACTTAGCAAGATATCAATACTTCATAGAACTTTCAGTTAGGAGGTATCAAGACTAAAGAATTAGAACACTGAAAACGTATCCTTCCAGAAAACTTTTTTCACTCGGCCTCTAGGACACAACTTCTCTGTGGGTCTCCTTATGTCTCTACCTGGCCAGTCTTTCAGTCCTTGTGTGGGATTTTCCCCTTTTCCCTGTCGGGACTTGAACCTCTTCCCTCCATCTATACACCCTCCTTAGGCAAAACTAATCCAGTCCATATGTTGATGATTTTCAAATTTGTATCTCCAGGTTGGGACACTACTTTGAACTCTAGATTCATGTATTCAGCTACCTTCTCAACCTCTTCATTTATGGTCTAATCAACATCTCAAGTTAAGCCTGGCCAAAACGAACTGCTGATGCCCTTCCTTCAAGACTCTCAGTCTCCCTCATTCAGTAAACGGAGACCCCATTCTTCAGTTAGAACAAAAAACTTTGGAGCCATCTGTGTCTCTTCTCCCTCCCTCACACCCCGTATCAAATCTATTGGCAAATGAGGTCAACTTAACCTTCAAAATATGTCCAGATGAATAGAAAGCAAAATTCATTGACTTTCCTAACCCAAACCACCATTATCTCTCTTACCTGGATTATGGCAAAGTCTCGGTGATGGCCAGAGTTCCCAGTATGGAAGGATAATTGACTGGTGGGCCCATCTGTCATGAGTTCACATGGAGGCCACATGTCCCACAGAGAGCTTCCAGCTTCTGGCTGGTCAGGTATACTGGAGCGGGTCCGTTCCTGGGAGACAAGTGTTTTGCTGGTGGATGACTTTGGCTCAAGGACTCTCTGTTGGCCTTACCACATTTTTATAGAATGACACTGTAGTTTCAGACTGCCCCATCTGACCTTCCTGCCCCTGTTCCGTCCCTTACCTGGGTAAGACCTACACTGCAATCTGAAGGCTCTTAACATCTCTTTTGGCCCCTTTCCATGGGTCCTCCCAGCTGTTCCTCTTAATGATTCCCTCACACATCTCGTGCCAACATGGCTTCTCAGAGGACTCAGACGAACACGGTTTGTTCATCGCTCTTTCTGCTTCCACAATTACACTCCTACAGTCTATTTACACAGCAGCCAGAAGGGATCAGGTGAAGACCAACCTCTTCACCTCGGGCTCTGGGCTCTACAAGATCTGGCCCTTGCTCTACCCATAGATCTCATCTCCTTTCTGCTGACTCTGCTTTGGCCACGCGAATCTCCTGGCTATTCTTAGATCTTTAGGTATGGTTTGCTTTCCTTTGCACTCATCTTTCTCTGTGGAATGCTTGTGCCCCAGACATGTACATATTTTTATCCTTTTCCTTGTTCAGGTCTGTCACTCTCTATCCTCTTATCCTGGTTTATTTTTTCTTCATAGCATTTACTCATCATTTGGCATATTATATATCTACTCTGATTATTTGCTTATTGACTCCCTCTCCCCACTACAACACGAGCGCCATGAAAACAGAGACTCTGTATTCACTCCCATATCCCCAACACAAATAAAAGTGTCTGCCACATAAGTACTTAATAAATTTTGTTGAATGAAATATATATATATATTAGAGGGCGGGCAGGGGCAGAGGGAGAGAGAGAGAATCTTTTTTTTTTTTTTAAGATTTTTTTAATTTATTTATTCGACAGAGAGAGATCACAAGTAGGCAGAGAGGCAGGCAGAGAGAGAGAGGAGGAAGCAGGCTCCCCATCAAGGAGAGAGCCCGATGCGGGGCTCGATCCCAGGATCCTGGGATCGAGACTTGAGCCGAAGGCAGAGGCTTTAACCCTCTGGGCCACCCAGGCGCCCCAAGAGAGAATCTCAAGCACACTCGACACCCAGTGACATGTGGCTCGATCACAACCCTAAGATCGTGACCTGAGCTGAAATCAAGAGTCAGAGGCTTAATTGACTCAGCCATCCAGGCACTCTTGAATAATAAATTCTTACTAAAAATCACGTATAGGGTCATAAAAATCAAAGGAATTTACAAAGCATAGGTTTGATCAGGAACGTCAAGAGTTTTCTGAAGAATGAGGACACAACTAGAAAAATTAGTACCATAAGAAATTAAGGACACACATTTTTGTTTTCTTTTTTTTTTTGCTGATTATAAAAAATGCTAATTTTTTAAAAAACAAAATTCACATTTATCACTATTCTATTTAATATAAAATATGAAGTAGTATTTTTTGCAAGCAAGGTCAAGTCACACTTGATTAGCTGGATTATAACCAGGAAATTGCTAAAATATCAAGGGGGTAAAAGCTATCTTTCTATGACTTTGAGAGAGTAAGTGATACCAGGGAATAGTTAGAAATCTATTTTTTTCAAGCATAGAGAGAAAAATATATAGGAAAACATTCAAGAATCTCCCTAATGCTGGGAATATATGACAGCAAAGTAACTTACTGACTGTAATGGGAAATAATTGGAAATATATCTGAATTTCTGTGAGATTTAATGAAACTAGAGTCTTGAACACACTTGAGATTAATTTTTCCAAAAAATCCATGTTGTCATGAAACTCAAACCTACTCTTCTACTTTTCCCCTTTTCTCTACTCTTCTAGCTATATTCTTAAAGAAGGAAAAATAAAATCAGAACGTTATTTAATCACACTTAGAAAATCTGAGTCCCAAACTGTAAGTCAGTGGGTCCCACAAAATTTCTCTGACATGATAGTTATGTGCATCCAAATGGTAGACTCTCTGGCATGGAAATAGAAGCCACAAAGTACCTTTTTGGCCACCTGCCCTTTTCTGAATATTACACTTAGAGACAACAGACGAAAATGCAGACACTACATCCTGTCATTGATTCACTGTCCAGGAAGTCAGAATTACTGAAGTGTTTAAATGACACAACTACTACCGGGAGTCTATGCGATCTTTGTCAAGTGATTAAAAGAAGCCAAGTAGAAATTACATTTCTGGTTTACAGTCCAGCTATTGTACGCACTTGAATTAGTCCTCTCAATACTTCTGGAAATTATGGCAAAAATATGTAAGCATGTTTTAGAAATGCTTATATATTATTATGGGGCAAAGAAAATATTTACCTTATTAAATTTTACTCTGCATCCCGTGAGGAAGCATGGTCCAGTTTTCTTTCCTTTTCTCTTTTCTTCTCTTCCCTTTTCTTTCTTTCTTTCTTCCTTCTTTTGCTGGTGAAAAAGCAAAACTGTGATCCGTTGAACTATTTTAGGTAGTGCATGTGTGTTCAATACAAAAGAATCCAAGATAAATCAGAATATAGCAAGATTTAACAGAATATTGAGTTGAGAGTCTACAGCCCTCTGTTCTCATTTTAAGTTGGACACGAGCTTTCTCGAGTAAGTTACAAAAAGTCTCATAATTATTGACCTGTTGTTAACAAATCACAATGAACATGTATTATCTTCCAGGTTCTGGGAGTGGGTTCAGGGCGGGCTTAACTGCTTCTGGCTCAGGGATTCACATGAGCTTTCGACAGCTAGAGCTGCAGTCATTAGACTCACCTGGGGCTCGAGGCTCTGCTTCTAGGTTTACTTGCACATCCAATGGCACAAGGCTCTAGGTCCTCGCTAGGTGGGCTCCTCCACAGGCTTGCTCATGAGATGGCAGCTGACTTCCTCCAAAGGGAGTGATCCAAAAGTGAGAGAGTAATGAGGCAGGTGCTGTGCTATCCATTATCACTTCTTCAGAAACAATTACCATCAATTCTGCTGTATCCTACCACTCACATAAGCTGACCTTGATGCACTGTGGGAGAGGGGTGACAAAAGGGTATGAATAGCAGAAGATGGGAATCACAGGGGGAACATCTTGAAGGCTGCCTATCACATTCTCTGACCTCATTTTCCTGATCTATAGTGAGCTTTTTTATACTACATGACCTTGAAGGTTAGTGACCTCCTCTCTCCCAGGGGCTGCTTCCAGACCTTGGTTTTCACTCTCACGTAGAAAATCCTATTCCTGTTACTCAGCCATCAGAAAGAACGAAATCTTGCCATTTGCAATGACATGAATGGAACTAGAGGGTATTATGCTAAGCTAAGTCAGTCAGAGAAAAACAAATACCATATGATGTCACTCATCTGTGGAATTTAAGAAACAAAACAGATGAACATAGGGGAAGAGGAGGAAAAATAAAATGGTATAAAACAGAGAGGGAGGCAAATCATAAGAGACTCAACTACAGGAAACAAACTGAGGGTTGCTGGAGGGGAGATAGGTGGGGGATGGGGTAATTGGGTGATGGGCATTAAGGACGGCACTGGATGTAATGAGCACTTGGTATTACATGCAACTGATGAATCGCTACATTCGCTAAATTCTATCCCTGAAACTAATAATAAAATAAAATAAAAAAAGAAGAAAATCCTATTCCTCTTAGCTTTAAGCCATATGGTTATACCATTCTCCACCCATCCAAGTTGCTGTCATTTCTAGACTTCCTGGTCACTGTCCTTCATCTCTGTTACTTAGCACCTGACCTACAGTTGTCCTTTTCACTCCAAGTCCTGTCATTATTCTAAGACTTCCATGTCCTCATGGGTGGCCCATCCGTTATCATGGCCTTCAAGTTCCTTAACCTCCCCATCTCCAATGCCCTTCTCAGCCACCTCACTTCAGAGCCCATTCCATACGAACACCCTGAATTTGTCATCACCAAAACTTCAACTTTGTAAACAATAAATGTAATCACTTTACTCTCTTGCTATAACTTCCCGTTTTTCTGAGCCTCTAATCAACCGTCCCAAGATGGGTCCCCCAGACCTGAATGGAACTTCCAGGAAACGGTCAAATCTATTTTCTCTGCATCAGATCTCTCTTGTCTTCACTTCATATAGGATTTTAAAGTCCATCACTTGAAGAACCACTCTCTGAAAAGATTCCTCACCTCCTTTGTCTCATGGTCTTTCTTTCACATGTGCCTGGAAAAGCCTTAGTCCTGATTGCTTTCAACTATCTTACACCTTCTCTATCACCTGCAACCAGGGCCACTGAAGCCTGATGGAGAAAATCACATGACTGTGGGCTACGTAGATGGTCCTCACGTTCACACAGGCTTCCACGGCTGTCCACCAGTTTCCTTGTCAGCGCTCTCCTCCAGTTGCACAGAGACTATTTCAAATTCTCCCCACTTTCCGTATCTGCCCCTGCCACCTCTCCCATCACCCTCATTTGCTCTTTCACTCTCCAAGGAAAATAAAATCCATTATCTGGACTCTCTATGTCTAGACTCATTCTTTCCTCTTTTCCTCTTTTAATGAAAGAAGAGCTTCACCTCTGACTTGAAGTCTGCCTCTGACTAAAATTCCATTCCTTCTCACCTCCTCAGAAGCCCTGACATTTCTTTTAACCCAGTGCAATCTCATGGCCACCTTCCCTTCTTCCCTGAAGTAGTCCCTTGTCTTATTCTGTTGCCTTCTTTTGTCTAAAACTACTGTCCACTATGGTACCACTAGCCACATGACTTGAAATATAGCTAGTCCCAAATGATAAATCCTCACCAGCCTTCAGAAACCTAGTATTTAAAGAAAATAATATATATTATCTCTTTAATCACTTTCCATATTAATTGCATATTGCATGTATAGATTTCTGGCGGGGGGGGGCAGAACAGGATAGCTAGATTGGCCTCTAATTCCTAAATACTCTATTCTGTGACCTGGCATTATGAAGTTATCTGGTCCCCTTTATCTGAATGACATAACACATTTTCCTCTGTATATATAATCAAGATTAAATTCCTTACATAGTTGCGCCCAATATAAAAAACACTATCTTTATTCATGAAGTAAAAGAAATGAGTTATCTTTTACTTTAATATTAACTGTGTTCATAAAGTAGAGAACTATGTAATGACTTTTTCTGGGAAAGTTAAATGTGACTATTTTCTCCTTTATCTCCTTTACATAATAATATACTGTGATATACTACATTATATAAAGTGTATAGTCTCATATACTATACCACGTGTGGTATTTATATGTGAGATGAATAATGCTACAGATGCTATTAATACTTGAATATAGGGTGTTTTTTTTTTTAATTTTAGCCTAGTGGAACCTATTCCAGACCTCTGACCTCAGAACAGTAAGATAATAATTTTTTATTGTTTTAAGCTACAAAGTTTGTAATAAATTGTTAAAGCAGGAATGAGAAACTTATACACTAATTTTAAACCCTAAAGTCCCCCTTTTTTTTTTTTTTTAAACGAAATGATTTTATCATTACATAGTTTCTGTGGGCCAGAAGTTGGGATAATTTAGATCGGTCCTCTGCTCAGGGTTTTACAGACTGCAGTCCAGGCATGGGCCTAGCGTTGCTTTCTTGTTGGTTATCAGTCGGGGGCTGCTCTTAGCTCCTAGAGGCCCCCAAAGTTCTTTGCCATATGACTGTCTCACAAATGGCTATTTGATTCTTCAAGGCTAGCATGAGAATCACTTTGACCTCCAAAAGCTGCTTTTATTTTTTTTTCATCATGATACGTCCACTCTTTAATCTCCATCACTCTTTCACCCAACCCCAACACAGACCTCTCCTCTGGTAATCATCAGTTTGCTCTCTGTTGTAAGACACAGGCCAGGATGATTGATGCTACTGTCCTTTGCCGGAACCTCTGCCTCATCCCAGGCTCTGTATCTTGATGAGCTCTGGGCTTATTTCTTCAACCTCTTCTCTACCTTATCTACATCCATCCCCTGGGTGGTTGCACCCAGATTCATGCACTTAAATCCTCATGTAAGCCTCCCCACTGCACTCTACGCTGGTATATCTAATTGCCTGTTCAGCATCTCCACTTGGATGTCTCCTCGACATCTTATAGACTGAAAGCAGAACGCTTGATTGTCCTTCCCCGTGAAAGTTCACTTCTCCCTGAGTATTTTCTGAATCTAAAAATGACACCATCATTGCAGTCATTCAGGTCAAAAGCTTGGTGTCCTCCTTGATCTCGCTCTTCCCCCATTCATATCCAATTTTTCAGCAAATCTTGTCTGCTTTACCTGTGAAATGTATCCAGAGTCCAACTATTCTCAACATTTCTTCCACCAACAAGTCACCATTGCCTCCTACTGGAATAACATGAGCCTCGCATCTGGACTCCCTGCTTCTATTCTTGCTTTCCCCATGGTTGATTTTCCACATAGCTGCAGTCAGAGTGATATCTAAAAGTGTAAATGGAACATTTCTGTTCAAAACCATCAAATAGTTTCCCGTTTCACTCAAAATAAAATCCCAAATCCCTATGCCTTTGCCCTGTGGTAAGATCCTCTGGCACTTGGTCTAACTGAGACAACCGTCACTTAGAATTTTTATGGAGGACTGTGGCAGGGAACAGTACTAGACATCCTGCAATATATGGGATGTTCCCATAAAAGGAAGACTTGTCTCTTATTCTATAGGATTCTTGAATTTCTGACTGGATATGCAGGTGAAAAGCCTATTTACTATTAGTTGAGAATTTAATATGTAACACAATGTCCAGGAAAGCACTACTCTGTAAATCGAGTGGAAGTGGCACATTATTTTGCTTGGAACATTACCAACAACTGCTCACCACTTTGGAGAATCACATTGTTCTTGGCAATACCATTGGCTATTTAGATCACTCATATAACACACCTGAACAAATTTATAGTTATCATCTTTATGCTGGTTCCACGTGTAGATATAAACATCTTTTACCCTCCTCTATTGTAATTGAGTCTCTGCATTTATATGTTAAGACACACATAATTCTATTAATTTTGGTCCAAATCCATCCTCCTCAACTCCACTTTCTGGTGTAGGTCCACAAGAGGGAAACTGTATTTCCCTTTACCAGGTAACGCTGTGCCCACTTCTGCCAGCAGAGGGTGCTAGAGGGAAGGTGTTGGGCTGGAGAAGAACCCCCACCCCCCACCCCGGCCTGCTTCTGTCCTCTGTGATTCCTGCCTTTGTGACTTCAACAACACTCCTTTCCTCTGCTAATGGCAGCTGGCTCCAGTCTTCAGCTTCTTTGGTACTTCCAAAACGAGCTTCCAGGTAATCCCCTGAAGTACTGGTATGAGCAAGACAGCACTTCTTTCTCAGGAGTCTAAGCCTTAGGTCTATGTGGCCCCTCTTCCAAGCCTCTAATTTCTGAAAACACCAACCTCTTCTCTTTGTTCCTCTGGCAGGTTAATACATGGGTCTCAACGTTTGCCTTTTTAGTCCTTCAAGCTCCATCGCAACACATCTTTTATATTAAATTCTCTCCTGGGGGTGCCAGGATGGCTCAGTTGGTTAAGCATCTGATTTTTTTTTTTATTAAGATTTTATTTATGTATTTGAGAGTGCGTAAGAGAAAGTGAGAGAAAGAGCGAGAGAGCGAGCACAAATGGGAGAGAGGGGTAAAAGGAAAGGGAGGAGCAGACTCCCTGCTGAGTGCAGAGCCTGAGGCTGGGCTCCATCCCAGGACCACAAGACAATGACAAGAGCAGAAGGCAGCCAGTTAAGTGACTGAGCCATCCAGGCACTTCCCAAGCCTCCCACCCTTAATTTTATCTCGGGACATGATCTTGGAATAGTGAGATCGAGCTCTGTGTCAGGCTCACACTCAGTGAGGAGTCTGCTTGAGATTTTCCCTTCTTCCACGCCCCCACCCCTCTTGCACACATTCTCTCTCTCTCTCTCTCTCTCCAGAATAAATAACTCTTTAAAAAATTTCTCTCTGCTGAAATGATGGGTGTGGCTTCTGTTTTCCTGACTTCATTCTAATGGGTACTTGCGGC